TGTCTGTATGTCAAACACATGGAGTGTGTGTGGCTGCTCTCAGGGTGTCGGGGCGGCATGTGATCAGCACCTGGAGTCGGTCAGGGCGGACAGACTGCCTGTAGCAACGCATTCTGATAACAGAACCTTGGATTCCCTAACCGAATAGCCACTGTCTAGGCTATTGCTAGCACCCGTTTGGGTAGGCCTTTAGACTGGTGTGCTGGTGTCTCGTAGATAACCTGAAAGGCTTTTTTGGTGTCGACGTGGTGATTTGTGTCGAGAATTGAACTTGAAATCGATCGATTTTTCCCCTTACCTGGCTATACAGGCATGCGCTTGTGTACCTTCTCACCCGGACGCCTCGTTGTGCGGCCTAAAAATCGATATTGTTCTTTCATTCCTGCCAATAAGTCATGGCTGTGGATCCACATTGCGTGCGGATTGGCTGTCGCCTCCTCCACTTTTCCCAACGATTGTTGCCCACGGTGTCTAATTCAGTGTGCCGGTTAATGCATGATCCATCAGAATGCGGTGTCTCCAGGAGTTCTCGGTCCTTCTTCTATGAACAACACAAACCACGCGAGTCATATTCCAACCAAATGTATGGCAAGCTTGCCGTGTATGGACGGTAACATTCGGACAAGTGCTCTCACCCCTTCATGACCAACCGATGCTCGTGTATGCGTGTAGAGTCCGACTTTCCAGTTTGACCAGGTGTCACACAGAATCTTGTGTACGACCTACTTCTTATCTAAATAGTTAAACCCATCCTTAGGATGCAGAAGTTTGCTGCATAATGTGGTCGTCATATTGTGCGCTATTCAAATTTGATGTTTCCTCAGGTGTCTTTCAACAAGTTCGGACATGTTGTTAATGAAAGGAGGTGTCTTCCAGGTATTCGGTTTGGGTGCCAGATCAGAGCAATCTAGTTCTAAGCCTTTTTCTTTTAATTTCTATTGTTTCATACATCGGTGGGCAAAATCTCTAGGGTACCCATTTGGGAAGAATCTAAATAAGTAATTAAGTTCTCTCTGGTAGCCTTCGTTGTCTGAGTAGAGTGTTTTTGCTCGATTAAGTAGGCTGGTAACAGCACTCCATTGTGAGCAATAAGGTGATTGTTCTTGGGATTGGAAACAAATTCCGCATAATTTTCTTTGCGGTAGACTGATGTGCAAAGTGTCCTGTCAGTCTTTAGCGCACGAGGATGTCAAGGAAAGGGATTTTGTCGTCAATCTCTTTCTCAAGCGCAAACGGGATCCCTGGTAGAGTTGAGTTAATATCACTTTGGTGCATTTTCAGGTGATTCTCTAATGGCCCGGTCACTTGATCGCCGCCGATTTGTGTCACTGCCCTTCTGTCTTCCGGACACCACCCGTCGATTGGCTGCTAGGATCATGCGAGGCTTGCCACTAGCCTCGTGGGGGCTTGGAGCCAATTAACTCAGCGCATTTACTGATAGGTTACGGGGGCGGGACACATTTTAAACTGAATAAAGGCGCACACGACACATCAGCAAGAGACAGCCCGTGACAAATGTCCTCCAGAGCCTCTTGGGCGCACATTCTCTCGGTAAAATCTGACCCACCTCCGTCCGTCTTCCCTGACTTTTGATTTGAAAACTTACGTGTTGTCGACTACGCCACTTCCACAATCCTTTTGAACGGCAACAAAAGTGTCATCCACGTCACGCATCCATAATTCGCGCTTAACTTATGGTAGGCACATGGTGGCTTCTAACTTTTGTATCGTGATTTCATCGAGACGGCCGGAGATAGGTGACCCCACAGAAGGTCCCTACATCTGTTGATAGTATTCGTTTGTAAATGAGAAGTTGCTTTTCAGGCGAAGGTTCAAGAGTTCAAAAAGCGGGTACGAGGACATCCGTGTCGTAGAACTGGAGCCAACAAGTTAGTGTACGTATGTTTTTGTGCCAGGAAACGCCCTTCAGGCGTCCCACTCATTTCAACAGTATTGTTCACCTGGTATTTATTGTAGAAAGCATTAGGACATCATAGAAATCAGACTAAACGGATAAGTATAAGAGTTCCCAGCACGGCAACAGCGTTAAAATGAGCCAAAAAGCGCATCTGGACGCATCTATTGGACACCGGAAACTTTATTGTACCGAGTACCGAACGGCCAATCAGAACCACTGAGGCAATGCATTCTAACAAGGACAAAAGCGACGCCCATCTGCTTAGGGAGGACACTCCAACGGTGTATGCCTCATGTTTACGGATGTCCGCGTTGATAATCATTCTAGGGACACCCTCTTTGTCTTCCTCACCCTCCCCCCCAACGTCTGTCACGGATGCCAGGCTCGCCTCCTCCTTCTCCTCCTCCTCCTCCTCCTCCTCCTCCTCCTCCTCCTCCTCTGTCTGGCTTATTTAGTTAAATCCTATGTCTGCGTTCGTAAGGCTAATTAGTCGTGATGAGTGAATGGAGGTCAATCTTGTGTCTTCAAAGCCACCTGGGATTTACTTGGAGGCTGAAGCTGACGGCTGCTGACGTCTCAGACCGACTTCAGTCGCATCAGAGCTGTTTACGGAATATCTTTTCAATTTACTGGCGCTTATCCTGCCATACGTTTACTGTTTCACCCCTCTTTTCTCCCTGGTCACTTGTTCACGTCCCCCTCTTCTTCTTTTACTTTCTATTCTTCTCCTCATCCTCCTCCCCCTCCCCTCTCCTACCTTGCTAGAAATGCAACCATCCTCCCCAGTCCCTCCTACGAGCTTTTTCTCCTTATAAACGATCAATGGTCTCCAGTTAGCCGGGCATGCGAACGTATTCGCTTGATGACGAATTATCGGAAACAGTCGTTCACCAGAACATCATGGTCAAATAGGCCCATTCGTGAAACTGTAAGCCTCAAACTCAATTGCCCCATTCCTTTATGTTTTAGATTTGAAACGGGGACCACATTTTCTGCAAAGCAGTAAGGGATAGTACTTTTTCATTTTTTTGGAAATTCTGCTTGGATAAGTAAATGAAATGGAAGAAATGCATGTTACGGCCTTTATTACTTTGGTCCCCACTACGAGTCTCACAGCTAGCCGGACATGTCACCCACCACCATGCCACTGCGAAAGACCTACCTTTGGTCATACTATATGTTGAACACTACTGTGGACCCATTTAAGTAGCATTTTCTGTTTGCAAGCATGCTGATAACACCTGGTCAATGCTTCATCAATTTTTTACCCAATGTGCTTACCCTGTGAGATTTTGTCCTCGTAAATGCTCCTCTCTGTTTCGCCTGCGTTTAGAAGTATCGGTGCTCGATGCTGCTCCATACAAGCTGAGCGCGAAAGTAACCGACGGATGCGCTGGATTTACCAACTGCAGCACCGAATCGGAGGATTTCTGTTCACATAATTCAGAAGTCTTCTTCTGCATACCATGCACACAATTTCAGTTGACTCGTGAATACCTAATGTGCTCAGTACTGTAATCGAGTTAAATGGATAGACGCCACTCTCACACAACTGCTGCCGGCATGTGTGAGTCCATGGCCCGATGACACAGCGCTGGACGTCAAAACGTAACCGCACCCGGATTTAACCTGCGATCTGTTTTGATTTGGGATCAAGTGCTACTAAACGCATGCGGTAGGTTATCTGGAAGTAGCTATTGCTGCCTCCAGGGTTTTTTGGTAAACCCCGATTCGGCAGCGTGTTCCACAGGCCAGGATAGCAGCCACGCATTTTCAACCTACTGGTAACGCAGCCTCCATCACAGCCTCGGTTGAGCGTATGTAGGTAGTTAAAACGTTTTGCACACTAACGGTTAAAAGGTTTAGGCTCGAGCTGCAAGTCATTCGAGCCTGTAGTTGTAGCATGACTGCCAGAAATGAGCAATGCGGTCCGGCTCGCATTTAACGATTTTCCATTCACCTGTATTGCCCGTCGCCATATCATCGCACCCAGGACTCCTGCGGCATCTCCAAGACAAAGCGAACATGCATCTTTCGTCTGAGAGTTAGGCTGGTAAAGCCCCACACCCATTTACCGACGAAGACAACGGAGAAACCACTTTTGGTTTATTAGCCGTCATCAGCCAACCATACCCATTCCCAGATTTGCAACCCCAGAGATTCGAGCTAGCATTATTTAGACAACGAGCGTTAATGAGTCCGATGTTCTAATCACTGGGCCGGGGGCTCGTACTCCTGTCGCTTGTGATTGGTTATATTAACTATGGTAGTAGAGGGAACACCAATTGCGCCAATGGAACTACTCGTCTAGTTTAGATTGAGCTGCCAGACACCACTGTACGAGTACGTCCTATAGCGCGATCGGTGGGCGCCTCTCTCTGGCTTGTTAGCCGCAGACAACCAGCCTAAACTGATCCCTGTGTCGAATAACCCGAGGTTCGAACCCACATTCTGCTGGTTAGCAGTGAAACACCCTAACCATTGCGCCACGGGCCCGTTGCCCTGCCGATTTAAACCGGCTGTATTAACGATGAAGCCGGGACGCATTCTGACAAATTCGTTCCTGAAGGCTATCGCTGGTCGTTCCATGGTATTCTAATGGACATTTCGATTTCCTAGACATCAAATGTTCATTCACGAAAGAATGTTTTGAAAGGAAAGATCGTTCTGCCTTCAAATCGGCAGCAAAGCGACCTTCTAATGAAGAAAGGGATATCAGAAGACAACATCTACATTCCAGCAAATATTTAAATCCTACAGCAGAATGAAAGGTAAAAAGGTGTAAAAACGTTCGTGAGGTCACATTTCACTGTTCGGGAGAGACAAACAGGGTTCAGAAGGATCGGAAGTCAACCAGAAAAACTGTCTCCTATTAAAAACTTATTACTATACAAAGCTTAGTGCTCGGGCAGCACTTCTCTGCTTCACTTCGGGTGCTGTCATCGGCTCACCATTCGCCTGCGGCATTGGAGGCGCGTCGGGAGTGATCTTGAAGCCGGGCATGTAATCTGGCATCTTGGCATAGAGGTCTCGGCGCTTCCGCTCCTCAGCCTGCATGAACAATCTCCACCACCGCGCCAGAATCTCACCCGTCACAACATCGCCAGCATTCACCCGCAGCATCCGAATCATGAAGTTACCGTCACACCGAACTACCTCTCGGAGGAACTTGTTCACCAGATCATCCGGCAGATCCACCACCCCCTCCTCCTCCCCTCCCCCATTCCCATCGTCCCGCTCTGCACTGCCAAACGACTGAATCGGGGCCAGCAACGATACCGCCAAGAATTCGCGTAGGAAGTTGCGACTGTAGCGTTGTAGAGCCAGACGACTAAGCCAGGTGAGAAGACTGAGAACAGAAACGAGGAGGACCAGGGAGATCCACAACCACAGAAATATATAGATCTTCTCATTGAACATGTTCACGGGCAGGGCACAGACAGCAGTGTAGACCTGATTACGAACACCCAGGTGCGGAACCCTCACAGGACAGAGGGTTTGTCGAGGGAAGAACTCACTGCCACCCCACTCCCGCTTCGATTTGAGGATGTTGAAGAGGTCCTGGGCAAACGTCGCCATGTTGAGATCGCGATGTCCCAGGAATTTCATGATCATGAAGAGCTGACCGAGTGCATTGGCAATGTAGAGCAGCTTCACTAGGAGGTAGAGGAAGGCGATGCGATTGCCCATCCGCTTGCCCACAATGAAGAGACGTCCACCGGGAATGCGGGACAGGTGGTGTTGAAGGGCAGACCAGGTGTTGGTGCGGTTGTCGGCGTGCTGACGAGACAGCTGAGAGAGGTGGTCTGCACAGGCGTTGACGAGTTTCTGGCGGGCGTCGCGATCATCCACCTGGTTGGCCTTCTTGGCTCTGGTTAGGAGGCATTCCAGGTTGTCGCCGAGGCTGTTGATGGCGAGAGCCTGCCAGATGAGGTGGGGTAGGTAGAAGAGCATGGCTTGGATGGAGAGGCAGAAGGGCACCCATTGGTAGAAGGCTGAAAGGAGAGCGAGTGGGAAACATGAGATTGACG